TAGTACTTATTAATTATGTTAATATATATTTTTTAATTAACTTTTAAATTTACTTTTATAAATTTGATATAATTAAAATTATTATTAATTAATGTATATATACTAACTTTTCGTCAAATAATTTTTTTTTTTTTATTGATGAATATATTAGAATAAATATATTTAAAATTATAAACAATAAAAAATTAATTAAAAAAAATTATTTTAATAAAATTTCTATAATTTTCAATAAATAATAAAAAAAAATCTAAGAATATAATTAAATATTTTTAAAAATAAAATACAAAATGCCTTTAATTATCATTATAAACCGTTGATATGAAATCATTATTTTATCAAATATTTTAACACAAATTACTAATGAAATTCGCTTAATCGAATCAGCTAATAACTAACGGGCAATAGAAGATAACAACTATCAATTTACTGTCAAACACATCTGTAGTTCCAACAAAATATACAATTTATTTTTATAAAATATTGTATCAAAATATTACTCACTCTGTCTCATAACAAAGTATTCATCTTTCCATTTTAGTCCGTCCCACAAAGTATCAATTTCTTTTTTTAGTAACTGTATTATCTACCTAACATTACAAATACCTTTACAACTTACAATATATTACATAAATGTCATTATTTTATATCACGAATACTAATAAGGTTATTTTAGTCATTTACACTTTATTCTTACTATATTCTAATATAATACTAATATTTCTAAAATTACGTGAAAAAACAAATGAATATTTAGTTCCGAATGAATTATTTAAAATCAAATTCAAATTAAAATTCAATTATAAGTTCAAATAAATCCAAAATGCTATATAATAATAATAATATAATATATATGTATATGATATATAAGCTTTAAATGATATATATAATAGTGTGTATTTATATTATAATATACTATATATAATATAAATATATATAAGTATTTATGCAGAGAGAATGAATTGCTAAATGATATGCCCCATTCATTTCATTAATTCATACAGGTATTTATAGGTGCAAGTATGACAAACACTTGATACAGAAGAATCCACGTCTGAGCTACATGATATGTACGTAGCAGCTACGTTTACAACACTCCCCCTTGGATGCTTTAATACAATGAATGTGACTCGTTAAAACTTTACTATGAAAAAACCTTATGGGAAAAAAATCATACTGAAGGAAAAAGAGTACATCATTCTTGTATTAATGCGCTCCCCCTGTTTTGGACTTTATTTGATGTCTTTCATCCAACGCATTCCAATTCCTTGCACCAGTTTGTTGAATGTTGCAGTCGGTAGCGCCTTCGTAAATAAATCTGCAAAATTTTCAGACGATCGAATTTGTTGCACATCAATTTCACCACTTTTCTGAAGATCGTGAGTGAAAAATGACTTCAGAGATATGTGCTTTGTCCGATCGCCTTTAATATATCCTCCCTTTAATTAAGCTATACAAGCTGCATTATCTTCAAATAATATTGTAGGAGGTAATACATCATCAGAAATCAAGCCACAAATTTTCTGAATATGATGAGTCATAGACCTCAACCATAAACATTTACGACTGGCTTCGTGAATTGCTAAAACCTCAGCATGGTTTGAAGAAGTTGTTGTTATTGTCTATTTAGCAGATCTCCAAGATATTGCGGTTCCACCACAGGTAAAGAAATAGCCAGTTTGAGATTTTGCTTTGTGTGGATCAGACAGATAACCAGCATCAGCATAACCAATTAATTCATTTTGAGATTCACTTGAATAAAATAAACCGAGGTCATGAGTTCCCTGAAGATAACGAAAAATGTGCTTGATACAATTCCAATGGCGCTTTGTGGGGGATGCGCTAAACCTGGCCAATAGATTTACTAAAAAAGATATATCTGGCCTGGTACAATTTGCAAGGTACATTAATGCGCCAATAGCGCTGAGATATGGTATCTCGGGGCCAAGTATTTCTTCATTTTCTTCTCTTGGCCTAAATGGATCTTTATTGGGATCAATGGATCTGACCACCATTGGTGTACTCACAGAGTGAGATTCATCAATGTAAAATTGTTTTAATACCTTTTGGGTATATGTGGATTGATGGATAAATATTCCATTGTTCACATGATCCACCTGTAAACCCAGACAATATTTTGTCTTTCCAAAAACTTTTATCTTAAATTCTTTCTTTAGATATTCAACTGCAATTTGGATCTCTTCAAGAGTTCTAATTAAATTGAGATCATCAACATATATAGCAATAATGACAAAATTTGATCCATTTTTCTTTATAAAGACGCATTGGCATATTGGATCATTAGTATAACATTCTTTTATTAAACATTCGCTCAGACAGTTGTACCACATTCGTCCTGATTGTGTAAGTCCATACAATGACTTTTTCAATTTGATGGAATATGATTCCCTGGGGTTTAATTTATATGCTTCAGGCATATTGAATCCCTCAGGGACTTTCATATAAATATCAGTATCCAATGAGCCATAAAGATATGCAGTAACTATGTCTAAAAGACGCATGTCGAGCTTTTCTTGCACTGCTAGGCTCACAAGGTATCTAAATGTTATTCCATCAACAACCGGAGAGTATGTTTCATCAAAATCTACTCCACGTCTTTGTGAGAATCCCTGAGCTACAAGACGGGCTTTATATCTCGCAATTTCATTATGCTCATTTCTTTTTCGTACAAATACCCATTTATATCCAACTAGTTTTAAACTATCTGGTGTTTGAACAATTGGTCCGAAGACCACCATTTTGTTTAATGAGTCAAGCTCTGATTGGATCACATGTTTCCATTTTGCCCAGTCATTTCTTTGCCGACATTCATGAACCGATTTTGGCTATGGATCCTCGTTTTCTTCCATTATATCAAGTGTTAAATTATATGCGAAGGCATTATCAATAATTGCCTCTTTACGGTTCCAACATTTTCTTGAAGTAATATAGTTAATTGTGTTTTCAATAATCTCATCATGTTCTTCAAGATCGTGCTCTTCTGGAGCAATTATTTCAGGGTTGACTTCCTCGTTAGATTGAGGTTTATCAATGTCATTCCTAATATTTTCATGATTATCATCATTAATTTCTCTTTTCTTTCGAGGGTGTTTATCTTTGGAACCGAGTGGTCTACCATGCTTTAAGCGTGTCGCTAATTCATTAGCACTTGCAATTTGTCCATCAGGGACAATTATTTTAGCCGAAGCATTAGCAGCTTGGATATATGATCGAGTGACTTTGCTCGAGTCACCGAATGCATCCGGTAACAGATTTGCAATATTTTGCAAATGTATAATGCGTTGAACTTCTAGTTCACACTGCTTTGTACGAATATCACAAAAATTCAATGGGATTTTCCAATTAATATCCCTTTTCGGTTCATTTTTGTCTCCCCCTAATGTCAAAAAATATGATTCGTCAAAATGACAATCTGCAAATCTTGCAGTGAATAAATCACCCGTCATAGGTTCAAGATATTGTATAATTGACGGCGATTCATATCCGACATAAATGCACAATCTACGTTGAGGACCCATTTTTGTACGTTTGGGGGGTGGAATAGTAACATAAACAGCACACCCAAAAATACGTAGATGAGATATATTTGGTTCGTGACCAAATACTAACTGCATTGAGGAATAGCTATGATAGTTTGTCGGCCTCATTCTTATAAGTGTTCCTGTATGTAAGATTGCATGCCACCAAGCTGAAACTGGCAACATATACCTCATCAGTAATGATCTATAAATGCAATCTTTTAATAAGTGATTCTGCCAGACCATTTTGTGTATGAACATGAGCAACTGGGTGCTCTACATTAATTCCAATCGACATGCAATAATCATCAAATGCATTCGATGTATATTCACCAGCATTATCCAGACGTATAGTCTTAATTGGATTATCGGGGAATTGGGTCCGTAATTTAATAATTTGGGCAAGCAATCTCGCGAATGCCATATTGCGAGTAGATAATAAACAGACATGTGACCATCTGGTAGATGCATCAATAAGCACCATAAAATATTTAAATGGCCCACACGGTGGGTCTATTGTTCTACATATATCCCCGTGTATTCTTTCCAAAAATGTAGGTGATTCAATACTTACTTTAGCTGGCGATGGCCTGATTATCAATTTTTCTTGAGTGCAGGCAACACATGTTAACTCATTTGAGTTTAAAACTTTTTGATCTTTTAATGAATGGTCATGAGAATTCTCAATTATTCGCCTCATCATTATACTGCCAGGATGTCTAAGGCGATCATGCCATATTTGAAAATCGGTAGTCTTTTGATCTACCGTAAAGTGTGTTTCAACAACACCTTATCTGGCATAATATAAGCCAGTAGAAAGTGAGGGTAATATCTCAATGATGCATTTCCTTTTATCAATAATATTGGTGATCAATAAAAATTCACCATCAGTATCACTCATAGTTTCAATGTGATAACCATTTTTCCGAATGTCATGAAAGCTCAGTAAATTTCTTCGAGCTTTAGTGGCCAACAATGCATATTGTATCACAATTTTCGTCCCCGCGGGAAGAAATATAATGACTTTTCCAAAGCTATCAATTAATTTCGCACGGCCATTTATTGTATTGACATTCATTCTTTCCCTTTTCAAATGAGAGAAATATTTTTCGTGTTTCAATATAGTATGTGTTGTTGCACTGTCAATAAAACACATATTTGCATCATTTTAATTGGCATTCATTTAACCAAAAATAAAATAGACAAGTACCCTCGTGCTGATAACGTTTTATATAATAATAATATAAGATATATATATATATATATATGATATGTAAGCTTTAAATGATATATATATATAATAGTGTGTATTTATATTATAATATACTATATATAAGTATTTATGCAGAGAGAATTTGTGAGAGACAGAGAATGAATTGCTAAATAATCTGCCCCCATTCATTTCATTGCTACATGATATGTCTATAGCAGTTACGTTTACAACACAAAAGTAGTACTAGCAGGTACTCGGTATTGTATAGTACTCGCACATTAAGAAATGACACAAAAGCCCCTACCGGAAACTTCCATTTATACCCCTCTTTCTCAAGAAAGCTACCCAACTGTGAAATCGAACAGAATCCGAAGCCACAATGAGTGAACAAGAAATGAAAATGTTCTTCCAAGAAGACGACAACAACAACAATCTCTGCACATCCATGTACCACCTCGCCGACGCCGCTCCCTCCACAAGCTCCGGCAAGAGGCACTCTCCTCTATCCCCATCTTCGTTTCTGGAGCCCCATTGCAAAAGGCCCGCCACTCTGCCTTCCCCGCCGTCCTCCGCCGCCGACCACCAAGTTTTGGGCTTCACAAAACTTCCGCTCCCCGCCCATTTCCCCGCCGCGCCGCCGTCCCCACTCTGCCGGACCTACTCCGAGCCCCTGCGCTCCACGGAAATCGCCAATTCTTCTCCGGCTCCGGCTCCGGTCCATCCATCGGAAAACCCCTCTTCTTCCGTCCCCGCCTATCAGATGCCGCCGCTGCCGGAAAATTCCAACCGGATTATTGCTCATCATCACCGGCATATCTCTCGCACATTGTCCGACCCTAATCCTGTCTCCAATTGGCAGGCTGCAGTCCCCGGCGGCACGCCGGCGCGATTCCCGGCGAGGAGGTCTCCCAGCTCCGGCGAGAGCCCTAACGCCAAGGCCATTCTCTAACTGTCATTTTTCCTGAAATTTTCTTAATTGCACTGCTGTCTTCTTCGATTTTCCATTAATTTCTTGAAATCAAATTAAAATATCAAATATTGATTGCAGAGGCTGAAAAGGATGAGGGAGAGGCTGAGAGACATGAGCCAATGGTGTAGCCACATTGTCGACGAAGAAGACGAAGAATGTGAGAATTACAGCAACAATAACCATACTCCCAAGGTGCCATTTCCATTTCCATTTCTATTTCCATATCCATTCTTTAATTTCTTCAATTAGCTCTACAATTGATCTTGATGTTTTCGTTTTCATTCAGTGTCGTTATTTCTTGATTCCATTTTGATATAGGAAATTTTCTAAGATTTCAATTAAAAATAATTCATGAATTTCATGAATATTCCCATTGGTTCTTTATATAACAATCTTTGATACTTTCTTGGAAACTCTACAGTCACTCGCAAAAAGATATTTTTTACTATTTGGATCTTACATATTTCGAATAAAATACTTAAAAGAGAACATTTAATCCAAACCTAAATAAATTATTCGTTATCATTGTATTTGTTTGGCAAACTTTGATTAATTTAGATTTTTATCGACTAATACTATCCAATTTAATCACTCGTTCATTGTACATTCTTGAGGGTTTCTTGCAATGAGAAAGATTATGAAATATCATATGGTTTTTTGCAGGAAAAATCTGAGGAAGGCGAAATGGAAAACAACAACAATTCGATTGCGAATCCAGCTCAAGAAGCTGTGTGGGTTGAGAAAGATGGAGAGTGCCTAGTTCTCCATTTCAAATGCCCTTGTGGGAATGGTTATCAAATTCTTCTTTCGGGCAGGAATTGCTACTACAAACTCACTAGTTTCTGAACTTAACCACCACAAGTTCAAACAATTTTTAATCGACAATTTTCTTCCAATGGGATGGATGCAAGCCTGCGCCAAATTTTTAATGGAGATATTCAATACTAAGAAGAAATTTTGTGGGTGATGATGATTTTTAGCATTTCTTGCTCTGATAATTGATTTTCTTTGTATTGCTTATTGAAGAACAATGTTCACTGCATATATGATGATAATAAAATTTGGATTGGAAAATATAATGTAGTGACAAAGGAAAATAAGGGCAACAAGAGATATATGTATTATATACACACAAAGGACAAATTTTGTCGACGACTAAAAATAGCATTGAATTCATAATAAAAATAAAAGCATTGTATTCATAATAATAATTTTGTTGAATATACTAAAAATAACATTGTATTTATAATAAAAATAGAATAACATTGTATTTATAATAAAAATAGAAGCATAAACATGAATCAAATGAGAATAATATAATAGTATAATGGATATAATTAAATAATATTCGGACTCTCAATAGAGTTGAAAATTATTGGAATCTCAATAAAATCAATCAGAAAAAATGTGATTCTCAGCGGTGTCGAAAATGAGATTTTTGACACAGTCAAATGCAGGGCTCTAGAGAAACATGATAAACATATTACAAACAGAAACAAGAGTCTCGAATTCAAACGCAGACAAAAATTAGAATTCTGAACAAAATCAAAATCAGAAGCAGAGAGATCAACAACTACGACTAGGATCTTCAAATAAGAAGACTTTCGGTTACATTCCTAGTTGCCTTCCCCGCCGTCCTCCGCCACCGATCACCAAGTTTTGGACTTCACAAAGCTTCCACTCCCCGCCCATTTCCCCGCTGTGCGGCTGTCCCCACTCCACCGGACCTACTCCTATCCCCTGCGCTCAACGGAAATGTTCAAATCTTCTCCGGCTATGGTTTGTCATGAAACATAAAATTCGTAAAAGTATTATATATAACTAGCGGTGAGACCCGTACGATGCATGGTTTATACTTTATTTTAAAATAATATAATATAAATAATTTTTGGTCCTGTCCACAAAGGAGACATGGTATTATAAATATATACAAATTTTTGTAATTATAATGTACTATTTTTTTATGGTATATTTTAAAAATATATTATATGTTAAAATAATTAAGATTGAAATAATATATATGTAAATTATTTAAACATACTTGATCTTCTAAATATTTGAAATAGAATGGTTGTCGAAAGAGAAATTAGAATTATTTTGCTAAATATAAATTCCAAAAATTTAAATTATTGCAAATTCATTTAAGATCATATAATATTGACTTTATAATTCTATGTATTAAAACTTTAATTCTTAAAGAACACTTATTCTTATCATTATTACTTTTAAATTAAACAATATTTTATGTTATTACTATTATTATTAAATTACATTATGGTTGTATGTGAGTTTTTTTTTACATATTTTATTAAAATAATCAATTTAACAACTTTAATTTATTAAAAATATATTATCATGTAATTATTAAGCATTTTTGTTAGTATTTTATTAGTAGTAAAGTAATATTCTATTAAAATTAAAATTAAAAATTATCATTATAATATTTGTTATTTTGCAAAAATCTCATTGATAATGGCGGACCAACTTCAGAGAATTTTGACTAAAATCAAACCAAAGGCCAATGCAACATAATTTTATTAGTGTGAGGTCTATCCATCCAAATTGACCAATCAATGGTGGGTTATGATTAGCGGCTACCAAAAAAATGCAAGTTCAATAAATAATAAATTAACACAGTTTGATAAATGCAATTTCAATAAAATGATAAATTAACTCAGTCCGATAAATGCAAGTTCAATAAAATGATAAATTAACCCAGACCGATCAATGATTATAATTGTTTGATGTTTAGAATGAAATAATGATGGAGTGAAACCATTGACAAAACCGTAATAGCGAAATAAAAGTGAGGAAAATAAACTTAAAAAACAAAAATATATATATATATATATATTACATGCATATATTACATGAAGACTAATGCATGTGGAGCAAAACAAAAATCATCAATCACAAAATTATCCTTTTCCCTTTGTATCATTTCTTTTTTTTTTTTTTTTTATTTTTATTTTTATAATAATGTAATTCGATTTCTAATCAATTACAATTTGTTTGTATTATATGATCTATTTTTTAAATTTATCGCATAGCATTGGGGTTCGCATCAAGTCACCGGGAATCTACTGATTCTCTCGGTGAAAAGTTTTTAGGCCGTAAATTATTTTTCAAACCAGCAATATTTAATCTTGTTATTATTATTTAAATAAATAATATGTTATCTTATTATTAGTATATAAATTTCTCCAAACAAAATATAAAACTAAGTGACTAGTATTATACATTATGATTGTGTTTGGAGTTCTCATATACTCCTTCGTTCAAACTTCTAATGTTTACAAATATTTTTTTTTTGTCCATCCAATCAAAAAAATTTACATTTCTGTTTTTTTTTTTTGAAGTAACCGTGGATTCTACCACTAACTACTAATATTTTTTTACTTATTTACTATATTTATATTCATTTTATTATACACTTATATTTAAAAGTAAGAGCAGTTTTAGGGCTGTTTGGAAACAACTTTCTGGAGAGATTTTAGCTTACTGAACAGCTTAGCTAAATTCAGTGTTCGGTAAATTATCGATCCCAAAAAATTAATTTTTGAAATTTTGTATATCACATCATTCCAAAATAGTTGTTTTATTTTAATTTTTTTATTCCTCATTTGACTTTAAAAATAAATCATTCATTTTACACATATCAATATATTTTTCATTGTAGTATTTATTAATTATGTTAATATATATTTTCAGTTAACTTTTAAGTTTATTTTTATAAATCTTATATAATTGAATCATTATTAATTTATTTATATATATACTATCTATTGTTTGTCACATAAATATTTTTGTTACTCATAAATATATTAGAATAAATTTATTTAAAATTGTAAAAAAAAATATTTTTATATTTCTTATTTGACTTTAAAAATAAATCATTCTTTTTACACATATTAATATATTTTTCATTGTAGTATTTATTAATTATATTAATATATATATTTAGTTAACTTTTAAATTTATTTTTATAAATTTGATATTATTGAAATTATTATTAATTAATTTATATATACTAGATATTGTTTGCGCATAAATTTTTTTTATTACTGATAAATATATTAGAATAAATTTATTTAAAAATAATAAAAAAAATTAATTAAAAAGTAACTTAACAAAAATTATACTCTCTCCGTCTCATATCTATATATCTATTTATTTTTCACATGAACTTTTAGAAATATTAGTATTATATTGAGATATAGTAGAAATAAAAGTAAAAAGACTAAACAAACTTTATTAGTATTGTATGATACAAATGTAATGATTTTGTATAATATATTGTAAATTGGAAGGGTATTTGTAATGTTAGGTAGATAATACAATTACTAAAAATGGAAATTGATTCTTTGTTAGGGGAAGGACCAAAAAGAAAAAATAGATAGATTATTAAAGAACGATGGAGTATATACATGTTGATGCCGATTTTCAACAATAAAAAGTAAAACCCGGAAATAGAAATTATCTTCGAATTTGATAAAATAAATGTTTGAGATTAAGAATCCCTAAGCATCGTACGATACATAAGCAACATAGAAAAATAAATACTACAGACTGTAAAAGTAAGAGGATGATCCCCAAAAGAAATGAACTGATTTTGATGTTGATTGAAGATGGTTTCTTTAGGTCGTGAAAGACCTATTTAGAAACCCACGTCAACCGTCACAACCAGGTCGTGCCTTCATATCCGCTCGCCGATGGTAACTTCTCTCAACCGTCTTAGAACTGCTTTTCATCCGACCTGCACACCTGCTACCACGTCTCCTCTTGCGCGCCTTCCACTTGTCTAACCTCCGTATTGACCGTCTCATATTTCTTTGCCCGACCTTATCTTGTCCGACCTCCGTATCGGCCGTCTCATCCTTCTTCGCCCGACTTCATCTTGTCCGACCTCCGTATCGGCCGTCTCATCTTTCTTTGCCCGACTTCATCTTGTCCGACCTCTGTATCCACCGCTCACTTAATTTACAATTTCTCCTAATCCAAACCCATTCAAGACCCTACTACCATTATCAGGCCCATTGGACTATACATAAGTCCAATTTATAAGTCCATTCTCAAGAAACCCTATACATTGATTTTTTTTCACTCAACAACTTGCCTCCTCCCGCCCGACTCCTAAGCGTCACTTCTCGGACTGTGTGAGATGTGATGTTTAGGGGTTTATAGCACAGTGCTATCATTACACTGTTTAAGGTCACATCGTGGGGTTTATGTAAAAACCCTTCTCTCACCTTTCCATACTCACGCACTCAAAATCCGGAAAACCCTTATTCTCTCTCCAGCAAATATCCTCCTCCAAAATCCTTTCTCCTTTGTTCTCTGCCTATCCTTCAAAAATGGCCAATCAATATGCCCCTGCTCTCCCTTTTGATGGTACTGAACCATCGGTGCCCTTCGTAGCTTCGAGGATCCTTACCTCTACCGTTCGCCCTTATTGCACCACCAACAAAGATGCTGATCGTATGAGATCTGTTATCTCTCATGTTTATCCGATAATGTAGTCGGTGAGTTGGGAAAGGTAGGTCGGGATGAGCTCGGGGATCACCAGCCCTTGTGGGCTTTGAGGTATAAGGTGAGGTCGGGCTAGTTGTCCCGGCAGACCCTGACAGCAAGCAAACTGTAGGGCCAAGAATTGGGTTGATAATTAAAGGTATAAAGTGATCTATGATTATTTTTTTGTCCGACCTCTTACTGGAAAATAGAGATCGGGGTTTCATGGCAGAATCCCAAGAGAAGGGATAAGTCGGATGGAGAAGAGGATCATGATAAGATCGGGGATATGGTGTGTCGGGGTAAAGCCAAAAAAGTTCGGTAGTATACTGTACAAGGGTTTTATATACATAAAAGCGAGAGTTGCTACGGTCTTGGTCAAAATTTGGGTGATGACAGGGTCGGATGGATGGAGATTAGAGGAACTAGGAGTTAACCTGGCCAAGGCATAACCTATAGACCTTTGGGGGTTCGGGGTGATAAGTAGTCGGCCAAAAAGGCATTCAGGAAATAAAGACGGAGCCACAGCTCCTGGAACCAAAATTGTCCCGAAGCAGCTGTGTCCGCCTTCTTGGTGTCGGT